ATCGCGGCCTTCCGGGCCCTGCTGGTCCCCCGTGTTCAGCCGTGTTTCGTGGGATATTGCGGTTGTTGATAAATCCATGCCTTCACAAAGTTGCATGAGTGGATGGTTCAACAATTTGATCGCTCCCCGTGAGTCGTTGGTAATCCGTGGCAGCGTACCTGATGCCTTTAACCGAATTTCAGCTGGCAGCTTCATGCGGAATTTGGACCAGTTTTTCCAAGGCGAGCGGTAACATAAACTCAGATTGAAGCACCACCTTCATAAGTCTGGGACCGTTCCCTTTGTAGTTGGGTGAAAATGGAATCCTGGTCAACCGCTTAGCGATGATATTATTGAGGGAGATTTCGTGGCGGATGTAACTCCATTGCTCCCGGTCATGTGCATCCGCTGCATCAGAGGTTGAATTTTGGAGCTCAGGAACCCCGTACACAATTATCGTCCGTTTCGCCTCGGCTTTACGAACTTCTTCACGGTTGCTCATCTTTTTCGGACGTTCGTTCCAGGGGATATCAGGAAGTATACGCGCCTCGAGTGATGAATGACAAAGCCTGTTGGACGATAGTAGAACTGCCTCTGTGTCCTTGATGGAGTTTAGTGTCACCCGGAGAAGTCGGGGTTCACCGTAGTGCGCTGAATTTGGATGACGTGTGACTCGTCTCAGCATTGCAGGTTCAACCGAAATGCCAATCGCAGTACATATAGACTTCCACTGATTACGATCATCCAACAGCTTCCCCTTTATCGTACTCGCCTGTGATTCAGGAACATTTGTACACACAACGGTTAACGCGCCTTGGCTCCTTGCGTTGGATGCAGATTTGCCATGACTTAAAGATACGGTGTTAAACGGATTGTTTGGTTGTTGGAGTCTGGTCAACTTACTGTTGCTTGGTGAGGCCACCGGAGTCGGAGGTAATTTAGCCGGTGTATGCATTGGGGCGACTGAGGCGTACGACGCCCGACTTTTCTCTACGGCGGAAGAGGTTTGCCCCGGAGCTTCCGCGGTTGCTGTTGAATGGAGGTGGGGCGTGTGACTCAAAGGTGTGGACATCAGTACTCTGGATGTTCGTCCGCTTTTGGGAGTTGAGTGAGGCAAGGGATTTGGAGAAACTGAGGCCGCAGCGCGACTTGAGCGTCTAGCCCTTTTTTTCGGCCTCGAGGTGGAGCTTTCTTTGACCGACTGTGGTACAATCATGGCCATATTCGCGGCCGGTGGTGCAAGCCTGGCGTTCAACAAATAAACGATTGTCGCATTCAAAGTATCGCACCTTTCCATGAGTGCACATAAACAACCGACCACTGGAGTTAACTGGCAAGTTGGACAAAACCAAAATGCGTCAGTAGCCTTGTTTATTTGCCTTGCTTCTTGTGCGGACTTTCCTATACAGCTCGGGTGGAACGAGCCACTGCAGTTTCGGCACGTTATACCCATTTTAAGGGCTTTGCCGCAATTAGCTGAAGAGCAGATACTTCGTTGCATGATATTCGGCATAGTTGTTGTATTTTTTCAAGCACGAGGACAAGCAAGATGTCGACCACAAATTCCAAAATGACGGGCACAGCAGTAAATCACTGAGATCTCCGAAGATATCAAGCGGAATTCCACGAAACTTTCACGGATTGATGAACACACGAAACTAAAAAGTTTGGTGCACAACTAACACAGCAACACACGTAAAATACAGTAATTCCAGAGAAAAAGTAGGATCCAGCGCGTGGTAGCAGAAAATTCCGCGGCGTCCGTGGGTACAGCCAGAAGACTTAGTTTACGTGTAAGTCGGTGAAGAAGCAAGGTGCAAGCAACATCAACCTCAGTATGAGGCATATCCATATGAAAGCTGTTTGATTTAGAGTATGTTGGCATTGCTTAGATATCTGACGATCACGGTGTAGCGCAGTCGAACCAGTATAGACCTACCATGTTGTGCGCAATGAACCTTCAGTATACTGTGTAACCAGATACTGAATTGCTCCTTGAGTCCTGAAATCTTGGATCTGGAATTAGTTTATCAACTCACCCGACCTGCCTGACGTCGACAATGGCAATGGATGAGAGGTAGCAGGCTGGGTTCCGTCCAGGGGGAGTCGCAGAGACCATATATTCACTCTACGACAGGTGCTGGAACAGCACCACAAGTACTGCTTACCGACGATACTTGTGTTCTTCAGTTTCACAATCGTTTTCGACTCAGTAACCGATCAACTCTCTTTGACATACTTGCTCAGAAGGGTGTTCCCATGTAGATTTTACGTGTCATGCACTCGAAAACCACGGGTTGCGTCAGGATCTAGTGTGAATTGACGAATGTTTTTCCTCCAACAATTGGCGTTCGTCAGAATTGTCCAATACCCTCAATATTATCCAATGTTTTCGTGGACTCTACCATGGAATGTTCCCTTAAGGAATCGTACGGTGCGGGCGTCGAGGTACTGCGTGCTAGAAAGCTTGTTGCTCTTGATTATGCTATGTACTGATGTTAGGGTGGCCCAGTCGGTCCTGAATAAAATCTCTAATGTGGTCTCGGCATTTGGTGTACGCTTCAAAGTACAAAATGTTGCAGCATCGCACTTTACTTGCTAAAACCTTGACCTTACATAACAAGGAACTCGAGGTAGTTGATCATTTAAACTACACTGTAAGTTTGTCTTCTGGTTTCGTAGCACCCGCCATGTGTCTTGGATTGCTCCAGCAACAATGGGCGCGTGGCTGCTGAATCTAGTTCAGGTATTGCGAAAGCTAGAACAGTGTTATTTAACCTGCGGCTTCCGTGGTGGCCGTGTATAACGACGCCGTGAGGACCGTCCTATGTATTATATTGATGTGACTGCTTCGGTCTGAATCGTCTTGAAGCATCTGATCATCGCTACCTGTGGGAAATTGTTGGTCTCAGATGGCACCGGCATACCCGCAACGACGACGTGGAGAGACGAATACTACGCGGGAATAGTCAGGTCAGTTCCTTAGAAAAACAAATTGTGTTGAATTCGTTGCGTTGGTTTGGGCACTTACTGCTTATACCCGGTCTCAGCTTACCGTATGTGGCACAAGGCTCCATGTGTGCAAAAATTGGCTTCGCAGCTGGAAATGAAGTCAATGACAACTGGTCTGTCTTGCCTTCCAGACTGGAGTCTATGTGACCCGTCATGTGCTTTGTTCGAGACGTTACAGGACATGGCTCGCAGTCGGAATCATTGACGCGTCTGTTATCGTCTATTCGGATTACCTGTTTGAAATAAGTCTGATGTTGAGTTCTCTTAGGGGTAATGGTGATTATGATGCGGAGCAATGATGAAAGCCGTAAGGAATTTGTCTCGCTGATGCCGCCGTATCCTCACGCCATAGTAAATTGCAGTGTGCAGATTTTTTCTTCCGAGTGACTGCCTGGAGTTAGCAACATCAGTGTCATGCAAGTGGCGAAACATGCAACTCTGCATCGCTTTATGCAAAAGCGGGGCGCAGTCAAAACTCATTCAGGATCTTCTCGAATACAGAATTAAAGAGAAAGAAACCGGGCAGCTTAGACGCACCCCACTTGTCATGTTGAACTCAGGAAAACGTTTCTCAAATGTCCCCAAACGTGGGGCTCGGGGATTTGTGCAAAGCTCTTCAGAGTTAGAAAGCACTGTAAGTAAGTGTGACCGATCGAACCGGGAACAGTTGTAGAGTGCAAGATCATCGCTGTAGGCCCTCTCTCTGGACGGCTTTTTTCTGATACCTAACGGGTGGTGCGTTCGCAGTAGCATTACGTTTGCACACAATGTCTAGGCGATGCTGAGAAGCCCAATGCCTCGACGATCCTCGCAAGACGGTGTGCAACCTGTAGTCCGATTACATTTCATTTGACCGTGGAACGGCTATACCAGACAAAAACAAGCCGCCGCCGCCGTCGTTCGACGACGGTGACTAGAAGTTGTTGGGTCTGGGCGCATTAACAGCGTCAATTAGTGATTTTCCTTTGGATACTAGCAGTCGCGTAGTTAGCCTCTGAATAGAGTCCTTGTAATTCGGCAAACGATGACGACGCACTGGACTAGCTGAATGCTCCTTTAAAATGTTTCATTTGGTGTTAAAATCTGTAGTTCTGAGATTTGGTTAAATGTAATTTGTTTTTACCTATGCTTTCATTTAAAAATAATAATAATAATACCCATATTTTTCGGTTGTGCGAGAAGCTGCACATTAATTATCATGCTCATGCATGGGTGAGATATGTATTCTGGGGATGTGACCAAAATATGTTGAAACATAACTTTTGTTTTTACTGCGTTTTGTGTAGCATCTTTTCTCACTGGTTATATATTTCTTGGTTCATTCTGGAAGAACTAATTTAGTGATTCACCCGATGGAAGCATAGTCATTATCGAGTTCTAGTACAGGAAATGGTGTTTTTAGACCCGTGCTTCGGGTGAGTAAGAACAGTGCTCAGTTATTCACAAAATCGCTAGCCTTCTACATCTCCTTGACCTTAACCATCCACCAGTTCTCTTGCACAGCCTTAAGACTAACGGTTGGACGCCGCTTCAGAGCATTACGAATACATTGAGGCTTTTAACCATGCAGATCCACCATCCGTTCTTGAAATCAATATAAAGTTCAAAAGTCAACTTAGTAATCGGCTTCCACAAACTAGACACGAAAGTGACTTCAGTTGGCCTTTAAATGCTACATTGGAAGTGATCTATGGCTCGGAGCGAGCTTTTCACATTCCCTGATGGATCAATAGGAAGCCAGGACCGCTTGTTATCGGTGGCTGCATGCAACTCACCTGCTACCTAAGACTACTTGATCGTCTATAAGAATGCGAGTCCTCCCTACTGGCCTTTGATGTCACTGTTTCCATGCAGTCGACCGAACCGTGATGATGTAACTCAGTGACCACTTTAGGGGCATGCTCTGCGTCCCAATTCGGTCAATTCCTCGAACTTGTTCTCAAAATTCAGTTTCAGTAACCGTTGAAACCTTTTTGATGGGATACTTTTGTCTCTTTTCGCGCTCTCAGACTAGGGGAACGAACACCTACCTCGCTCGTTTACAGCACGACGGATGGCATGGATGAAACTGACCTAGGCAATCTCTTTGGAGCGATGCCAACATTCACGACGGAAGAAGAGATTATGCTGCCTGCTGCTACTTTCGAGGCAAATCCACTGGCCGCTGCGCTAAGTAGCATTTCAAATGAGCAAGTCGGTCAGATCGGGTCTTCGATTGTTCCCGTACCGAAGCCTTCTAGATCAACTGCCGCTTCCTTCTCGCCAGCTTTACAAATGCAAGCTAAAATTTACCATGGCCTTGGTACGTTTACGGAGCAATTCTATTCCGTCATCGCGTACAGAAAACAAGTTTGATATGTTGCCATTTTAATTACTCTCCTCAGTCGCATACGCAGTACATTTGGAAATAACGTTGTCGCATGCGGAACTAAATACAGTTTTATTACCGAATTAAACCGATAATTTTGGACAGTTTTTCGATTCAGTGAAGGTTATAAAAAGGTTATACACAATTTGGAAAAGGCACATGCAAAACACACCTAGGAATTCACTGCATACTTTTGCCCAACTCTCCCTTAGCACCACCCGCTAGTGACAGACGGTATTCCATACGGGGATTTGAAGTGCCTCATATTTTTTATACGGTTTGCCGTGACTCCATAACCCTCTGCGCTAACTTTTCCTCCAGTGCAGGAAACATAGTTTTTCTACAGCATGTGGCTCTCTTGCCTACAAGTGACAACTCTAACTTTTTCTTTCACCATTCTCTCACAGTTAAATGGTGTGTAGCTACAAAATCATTGGATTACTCAGCAAACACGATAACTTTCAATATAAAGTCAGCAGCATATGCGCATCGTTTCCGTTGAGACATTTTTTCACGTCTACACGGCTTTGGAAAATCGCACGAAATGTGGGCAAATTCCCTCTCAGCTGGATCATGTGACGTCGCGTTAGCGCTATTTTGGGTAGCGAATCAAAAGCGCTTATACATTACGGTCGCCACAAGTGACCAGTAGTAGAACAAATTTCGATGAACATCCCATGTATCAACCGGATGCCGCTGACTGTATTCGACCAGCATGCCCCGGGCGAAGTTAAGCGCACTTACACTCCTTTGTAAATCGTCAGTAATCGGTATCGTCCAGAGAATTGAACCGCCATCCATCGGAATTCGCAACTTCATCACAGTTGATGTCGAATTTCAAGATTCGCGTAACTGAAAAAATCACACCCAAGGGATCCTTTTCACTGTTTATGTCTACCTTGTAGGATTGTCGCCTCTAATTGTCATGGACGGACTTTCAAGTCGTTGCATCATATTTGGTTTCTATGAGGCGCTAACGCCTCTCGTGCTGTTTGGTAGCAATGATCTCTTTGGAGCAACGACTCAGTGAACATGGTAGCCCATTATATATGCTGTGTCTAGTCCATATAAGAGCTTTTCTGCAGCCATTTATACCCGCTTTATTTACATGTGTTCACATCCGATTGTGATTACTTGCGTTGGTATCGAATTCCGATTTCGCTTTCTTCTCCAGCCGAACTATACCTGGCCAGTGATCAGTTAGGAGAAGCAAAAGACGCGTTGGATGAAGCAGTCAAAATTACGGGCCTGGATGTAAATACTTTGTACCTGGTAAGCTGAACTACGTGTTTCCCTTTCGCTGGGACCAGTGGTATTTGCTTATTTGCTGGGTGATAGGTTGCCTGCAAGCAACTGAAGACAAAATCGATGAGAGAAATCTCACATTTGGCCCTCACCACCGGTGGGGAGTGGCGCAATCGTACACAAACTGCAGTCCAATGGATAAGTGGTGGTGATGGAAACTTATTCACCATGTTGGGGGTATCGTGAAGCAAATTGGTTCGATACTATGGACCTCGTGAAGTAGAGCAGCACTGGGTTGCCTCTCGCAATATATCAGTCTCTGTGACCACCAGCACTTTTGCTAAACCCATCCACGCTGCTAAAACTAACTACATGTAGCGACACAACACATACCAAGTCACTGTTAGATGATGCGGCGCTTGGACATTACCTCATGTCAGACGTACTAGATGCTGATGGAGCCTTGTGCATTCATGTGCCTCAGCCAACCTCGAACGTCATCAGTTTGTTTAACAAAGTCAGCTTCATTGCCTCGGTTGTACTAGTGTAGTCATCTAAAACAATTGAAATTTCATTTTTGCCCTCCAAAACCGATCGAACTAAACACCATGTTTCGATGAAACCGTTGTTCCCGTTTAACCTATGACTGCGATCGCAACCGTTCCAATGTTATTCTGTTACGTATTTTGTTGGTATTCTTGAGCAACTGGACATGCATGTGGTAAATGACGTAATCTAGTCAACCCTCGTTGGTGGAGACTGAAGATTTCTCCTATTTGCCGTGCAAAGATTGGTACAGGGGACTATGATTACATGCACAGGTTCAACTTAACCTCATAAGGACCGGGTACTACATTTAACTTTTACATACTAATGGCGCTGCTTCACATGTCTTACTAAGCTGCACACGTGGACATCAGTACACAGTTGTAGTGCCGGGTAGCTCACTCCCTGTGCTTCGAGCGTCAAGTGGTGAAATATAGGAATACTTTGTTAGACAGTAGTCAAGGTAAAATTAATCCCCTCACAACAACTTGAGTCATCCGCTTCGCTCTTACCGGCACAAGCGCCTTTTTATGAAATATAGCGGATGCCACTCGCCACCCCAGTTTCGAAAAGAGAGCGCAGTTGCTGTATTAATTTTACGTGCTGCCTCAAATTATTGCCTCTTACAACCCCGCTACGGTAGATGGCAAGTCCATCAATGACACCGAACACGCTTGTACCACCAATCCATCATCATCACGCAACTGCCCACAAACCCTTCAGTGCTACGTATCACACATATTCCACTGTATCGTCTATGCTTTTATCACTTGCTGCATCTACGGATGTATACAATGCCACTACATGGAGAGCGATCTGAACGTTTACAAATCCTGCAATAAAAAGGGAACCAGCGAGTGTTGATAAACGTGACAGTGTTTAAATTGATGCCCCTACTGCATCTATATCCAACCGCTTAAACGGTCCTGAGCATTTTACTGCGCTTCTCATCAACGCAAGGTCAGTCAAACAATAGATACACTCATTGGGCCCTTTATCTTTCTATCTGGTCCTCAGTTCGTGCTCGTCACCAAAACATAGCTTTCCCCCAGTGCGCTTGACACGTCGCTTCACATCCCGGGTTATAGAACTTTCTGTAATGGGCGCGTCAGTGGCCGAGGTGGTGGATCCATTATCTATATCCATGAGGACTTTCATACCACTATGTTTGAAGTCCTGCCTATTGGTAACCTGAAGATTCAATCTGGGTACAGAGCACTAAGGAACACCTTGACCTTTTAATTGGGTGCATTGATAACCCACCACACACTGTCAATAAGGGTGCTGCGGGATTTGCCAGACTCCTCTGTCAAGTTTCCGAGGTGCCACTTACACAAAAACTAGTAGATGGTGATTTCAATTTGCCGCACCTCAATTGAAACTCTCAGACACCATTCCGACATGTAATTGGATAGCACGAACGTGTACCTACCAGACAAAATAATGTTCTTGACTTATTTTCACTACTGGCATCGCTCGCGCATTCGTGAAAACGTTAGACATCATCCAATCCACATGCCTCCCGGTCTCATTCTTTCGAGTTTACACTGGATATGGGGTGTGTGGTTGGAGCTGTGGGTGGCGCAGCGCAAGCCACCCATGGTCCCTCATCCACTGCACAGTGACCTTTCAAAAGAGCTCTTTTTCCGCGTTCAAAAGTCAAAGTTTCATCCTTTTGCATGTCATATTGTAGTACTGCCTTGCCACATCTATCACATTTGTTTGTTGATCCATGCTGCGCGAACGATTGTCGGAGTGACAATTGTACATATATATTCTATTCCTCCCTCAATTATGTACATTACGTTGATATTCTCATTCAATATGTCCGCAGTGATGGTGTAACTGTTGATAACGAACATACTAGGGTTCATAAAGCTTATTTTGACTTTACTTGAAGTCATCTTTTTCAACGCTAACGGTGTAGGTCCCCCTATTTCTCGTATCCAAAGGGGTGTCGAGGCATTGTACTGTTGGTGCGACACTTTGGAATGTAGAATTTTTGCTGGCAAAATGCAATGCCATCTCGTATCAGTACACTGTACCGAACATTACATTGAACATAGGTGAATCACCACTTGTCAACAGCATTACTGTACATGACCTAGGAGTATACCATTCCAGTTCACTGAACTTTGCCAACTATGCCGGGTATAGCGCAGCTAAGGACAGATCAATTATTGGCTACATTTGCAAGTGTATGGTGCTTGGGGGAATCCGGACTGATATAAATCATGCGCTCGACCGACTATAGAATTTGCTCCTTGGTGTTCACTAATTCGCTACTGATACACTAGCATTAGAGAGAGGGCAACACGCATCCACACTTAACTACCGCGGCAGACCCAAACATATTCGGCTAGATCCACAGTGGCTTCACCGGCTCAACCCTAACTTAGTATTTCTATTCCAGATGCTAAACAACTCAAATAGGAATACCAATCTCTTTGGTACACTGATGGGCGATATCCATTACGAACCAGACCATTCTCCATTATCTTACCGAAAGCTCGCACTAGCATCTTCTCTAGTTTCTTTTTTTATAGATGTGCGTTCGTATAGAACAGATTATCTACGGCAATCGGATCGACCACAGTTGTTGCAAGACCTCGCACCTCCCTATGCAAATTTGTTAATACGAACTCTATCCTAGCCTAAGATTATCTGAGGACGAGCTTTAGGAATGAGGTCCAGACCACCACCTCTAACCTTACACTTTGACGCACTGCTTATGTGCTTCTTGCTACCTCAGAGACACATGGGTTTTATAGTACTCATTAGTAGCAGGATTTTAGTTGTAAATCTGATAAGGCTTTCATCCCAACAGTTCACAAGCTACATAGCAGAGCCTAGTCCGGAAAAGCGCCAGACGCGTTTCGCCCTATTGGGGCTCGTCAGTGGCGCTCATTCCCTCGGTCCTCTAAGGAGGATCGAACCCATGACCGTTAGAGGCAGATTCCAACTAGCCAGCAGCTTAAGCCACTGAGCCATGGGGGACGTTGGCTGGGCTACATAATTTGCAAACTAGCTGGGATATAGCACTACCTATCTACACATGGGTTTCTTTCCCCATTTTCATCCCTACCTACCATTTCGCCAACTCCGATTAATGGCTTACGAGCATGCATCTCTAGCCGCACGACGCAGCACTTCGTTCTTTTCTCCTTAGGTTTCCTAAATGCTAATCCTTCGCTCACCGGCCTGCACGAGACTACTGTACCCCATTGGCTGCCATGACCATCCCTACCTCATTCCACTGCTCACGACTGTCACTTGATATACAGGGTTCAAGTGCCAGAACACTTATCAATTAATCATGTCCCTATCAACTCCAAGAACCTAGATCTTGCAAGGAATGTTCCAGACATGAGGCTCTGTGTAATGATATAATAATAATAATATATAATATGTAAAGTGACCAACCTCAAATAAGATATGGCGGATCATCAATAATGGCACAAGCATCCGACGTACCTGTTTGTTCGCTGTGTCTTTCCGAACTATCTGAAGAGACGCCGCGTTGACACACCAAAGTATCGTCCTCTGGTCCCGGTTGACCCAGCCGGCCTGTTGCCTGCCTTGTAATCCTAGGGCGCAGTTTCGAGTCTGCGTAAGGACCAGGCGACCCTCGCAGTATCCTTATCCCACATGCAGCTGGTGGTGGTTGTGCGGCAGCGAAGCGTCACTACTGCGTACCGGCGTGTTGCTAAGGCATATCCACTATCAACTTTGTCCTTATGAAGCACCCGGATTACTTTTCAGGAATAGCAGATTATCCTGCTATTGTTATAATTTATCGAGTCGGATTTCAAACCCTGGATAAAATCGCTTTTCCTCTTTGAGGCCTGAACAGTTAGGTTCGCTTTTTACCCACTCATTGCCTGCTTGGAACTATCCGGATGACATTACGCAGATTTTTGCATGTGATCGGCGGATCAACACTTACCATTTTCACCCTTACATGATGGATCATCCACTTGTCTATGGCGATACTCTCCACTGACCGTACCCGGAAGATTACCACTGCTATCCTGGACAAAAATCCAATCCTGTTTCGTGGCCTGAACGATCGGGCTCGGCTCTTCTCATTGCCACACCCAAATACTATTCCCCTGGACTTGCCCCGATGATACTTTACTACTGTCTGCAATCGGGGGGCCAAATCTTGCGAACTACATTCTCTTGAGTCAGAACTTCCACTTAAGTATGGATGACCGACTATCCTGTCCCTACAGAAAGATCACCAATCTTTTAACGCGACAGAGCTCCGATTTGGACGCGATTTTGCCCTGCTGTCATCCCTATGAAATGCAACGAGTTAGCCGGCCCCGTCAAATGACGACTCTACTCCACCACATGTTTCGTTGTAATCGAAATATCAACTTAGTCGACGAACTTGCTGCTACGACGCCCAGTAGATTGCGGATTCGGTTCTATTTTTCAAACACATTCTTGATCATAGATCTTGCTCCTCCAATCCTATTTAATTGTTAATTTTTCCCACTTTTATAAGCCCTCTTCACTGAACCTATCCAATTTGTGCACCCACACGTTACTACCATTATTTATCAGTATATTATGTGACAGGTAGACAAAATTTCTGTACTTTATTGATCATGCCTGTTTAGGCCTTTCGGGAATTAATTATTTTTTAGTTTATGTCGGTGAATCAACACATATTCTCATTCTATATTTAAAGTATTTCTACAGCTAACTAGAATGAGAGTCCGTTAACCTTGTCTAAAGGTTACCGATCCCACTAACTAGACCAAGTTTGTAGATGATACCAAGCAGCCCCGATTTGCCTAAACCGAAGATCGAGATGCAACCTTGAGTACAAGTTTAATAGTCGCGAATTAACAACGCACATACAGTTAGGATTAGATATATCTTAAAAAATTTGTTTCTTCCAACGAAAAACTCGAGATGCTCTTCCGAAAGACTGTCAACATCATTGAGCCGCTTTGACAGAATGGCTAGGTTTGGGTCGATGAACAGCCCACTAAGCCAATCACTAGAATTTGCTACTCCAAGAGTGCGCGGTGATTCGCGTTGTTTATGTTTGGTCCACCGAATTCCAGATCAGCTTGTGATGCAATTCGTCATCAAATTTCATTTGCTGCACGTGGAATTAATCCGCGTGTTTGAGACACTCGTCGACCGTTTACCATTTTTACTCATAGTGGCAGATTATGTATTAGCATAGAATTATTTTTACTGCTATTAATATTGCAAATACTGTTGAAATATCTTTACATCCAGCGCGGACGTCTTATTGAAAAGGATGGTCATCTGACAAAAGCTCGTTCCGTTTACGAAAGTGTAATCGCAGTCCAACCTACACACTTAGCCGCTCATTTGTCTTTGGTAAGTTGACCGAAAGGAGCGTTATTCCGTTAATGACACACAGCCACAACAGATCTATCTCAATCTTCCGTGGTACGTTTTTAATTAGTCTTCTATCTATTTTCAGGCAAATTTACTTCGGAAAACAAATCAAGCTGCGCTAGCGGAGCGTGTGGTACGAGATGCCATGTACATCGATCCAACCAGCTGCCAGGTGTGGCATCTTCTCGCAGAAGTTCTGGCGTTACCGGGTGCATCTGAACCGGCTTCAGACGGGGCAGTCACAAAGGCATTATTCAACGCTGTTGAGCTTGGACAAACAGAACCCTTAGAACCATTTTATCAGCTACCAATAGGGGTCCAATGTACGTAACGTTCGAACTGCAATCAATTAGAACATGAAAATGTTAACAGATCTTCTCCTTTGCTGCTTATCGATTCGGCACAACACGCGACTAATTTTTCAACAGCTCCGAGTATTTTTCAAATACATTTTTATTTATCATGGAATACTTTCTGATGGAGACTGAACGTATCATCGTACTCTAAGATCATCGAGTCAGCGTTTGGAGTTTGTGATACGTTCTGCACTGGATTATGAACGAAGGAAATTTTTATTTAGGTAGATTCTAAGGACACTAGGTGATGTATAGAAGATATAACATTTACAAAACAAATAGATAACTTGTCAGTCAGTAGCCGACCTGTCCGAGTTTTTCGTTTGTCTTTGGGTCTGCAGTCAGCTCTTGCACTCGCACGATGGCAGCGTTTGCGTGGTCCTGCAATCGACGCATCTCATTCACATTTAACAATCGCAAAGCAACTGCTGCCGTGCGGACCAAAGGATCATCGACCTCGAATCCAAGACAAACCTCCGACGGTTTCAACATGCCAGACTGTAGACAGAAAGAGGCATATCGGTTGAAGCTGACTTACTGCTATATTCAGAAATCAAAAATGTGGCAATGATGAAGTCGAGGATTCGGGTGCTGCGGATGTTGAAATATCATTAACATATGTGATAGTGGACTTTTAGTCATCCCCTATGTGACTTAGTAACTGTACACGTAGCCATCGTCGGATCATGGACAAAGCGTTCCATAGCTATCGGCCGGTGGTCCGCGCGCTTGTCTTGCAATAATAAGGTCCCAGGTTCGAATCCGCGTCTGGGTGGGCGTCCTCGCGATATACTCAGCCCGCGTACAACTGGTGCTGGCCGCGCGACAGCGAGGCGCCGTTACGGCGTACAGCTGACGCATTATTTATTTTTTTATTTGCTATCCAGCGGCAAGCTTTTCTACACGATTTTTACCCAACTGTGGACACTGAAAAACTGTTTCCTGTCAATGGGTTCAAAATCGCCGATGGTATGACGTTACCTGATGATCTTGACAGTTCTACATCATTTTAGACATCTTACCTCAACGGTCCCATATTCTTCGAGGGCTTGTTCGATATTTTCTCTTGACAGCTTCTGTTTGATTAACAGACAAACGGCCTGAAAAAACTAGCAGTACACAACGAGGATACTTACCTTGAACGTAGTTACTGGGTCCGGATGAGAGGGAATGTGTAGAGTTTTGGCTAGTTTCGCAACACATTCTTTGAATTCCGACCCATATACTAGACAAAGCGTTTAAGGTCAAGAGCCGAACCACTTACTGTCAACACGGTTAAAAAGATCCGGCGCAGCATACTGAGGAGAGGCTGATGTCATTGTAGCCGAGCTGTCACTGGGGATAAAATAGACTGTGTGTACAATAAGAGGGTACTTGCTGTCTCCGGGCTTGCAGTCGAGAATTAGAGCCTTGCCAACTAGCCAGTCACAAAGAGCCAAAGGCTCACTTTCAGAGAACGGACACTTAACCGAGTCTAAATACTGGGCACACATGTTTTTTCTAAAAGTAACCAACTTCTTTTATATACGACTGCCAGTCGGAAGACTCAATGTCACGGAGCCGTTTTCCCGCCTGATAAAATCGAATGGTTCGGTCCTCCAACCAAACGACCAGGTTTCGAACCTGTTTCAAATCTATCCAATAATGAGCATCGCAAGATGATAACCACCGTCCGCAACGAAAGAACTGGCCGCAGGGTAGTTCAGTGATTTTAGTTTCCATCGGATTCTTTCCAAGACAGCTGATGTCTTGATACTACCATTCATGGATGACCGTTCAAAACTCTGCGAATAAGAGGCTGAAAAATATTTTCAAGGACTGAATTGTATGCTAAAGTTGCAAGACAGTGCAGAAAGCATGAAGGCGAGACCACCTAATTTCGCTGGTACGGGTGGCCATTCTCCGTTACGAAATTTGCGGATAGCCATTAGCCATCACATTCAGCTACATTCATAAATGAACCATCCAACTAGCATTCCATTACTCTCTAGCATGCGAGAAGCTCAATGGTTCCAAGAAAATATTGCAAAAGAGCTACTTGTGGTAGAAATCACAGGATAGAAAGCGCCGCCTGGCGACCAGTAAGCAACATGACACTGGCTTGAAGAAGCCCTTGTGCCAACGAAACACAAAGCATACACAAAACCTTGTATTCTAAACCTCCCGAAATTAGGAGTTACCAGTCGATTCTCAGTTTATTCTGAGATATGGAACATGACGCTCTACTTGCCCATATCGAAGTCTCGCACTGAGATGCGTTGTGGGTGCTTCACATTGGAAAGCCCCAAGCCGGCCGTGGCCCGTGGTGGACTGGGTTGGCAAATACCAGATCGGCATAACGATAAGGGAGAGAATAGAAACATGAAACAATAATGAGAAGATGAAGACTTAAATGCGTATGGAAATAATTGGAGCGCATGTCTGAAGAACTAACAGACAGACAATGCACCGACTAAAGAACGAACTTCTAAACCGTGGCACATCTTACAGAGTATCGGGTAATTGCCATGAGCCCCATTTTCATCGTTCAACATATTAAATAAAATAGTAATGTGTCCGCTGTACGCCGTAACAGCGCCTCACTGTTGCGCGACCACCAACAGTCGCACGTGGGCTGTGTACCGCGAGGACGCCCACTCCTACGCGGGTGTTCAACACATTAGCTAGAGGGGGGAAAAACCAGCTGTTGTGCCGCAATACGATTCATTTAGATCACAACAAAAAAGAAAAAAACTAATATTATGCTTCGCTTTGATCTGCCCCATACACTAACATGGTACTGCCACTAGAATGACTTCATTATTTGCTTTCTCGCCGTTTCACCAGGCTTGGTTTCATCGCAAACATTCAGAACCAGTGCACTTAGGTCTTGCCAAGGGTCACAAATAACCGGCTTTAGTAGCATCGAACAGATAACTCCCCGGCTCTCACTGACCCATGTCATAACAAAACCCAATCAGGAAATAACACGATACACGCAATACATTGGCAACCAGGATAGGAGGTCACAGTGATGCCGGTTGCATTTGACGTTGTGCATTTTCTCGAGCCGAGAATAGAGTAGATTGCGTAAACTTCAGTCGAGATCTAAAGAATTGTCAACAACACTCCAGTGAACAGGGCATTTTCTCGCGAACTGGCCAGGTCTCTGATCCCCAAAGTAAGATCGACCTTACCGCAGCGTTATACCCACAAAATTTCACTAACAGGCTGACATCCCACCGTCTACAGATAGTTGAGTCTCTGGAAAGTCACACAGGTCTTGCTGATACGCGAACTAACTCCCTCAGTGATATAACCACCAGAGATGACACAGCTACCAAATTAAGTGAACAAATCCCCCACATCCAGTGGTTGTTCAGCGATAGCTAAAACCATCATCATCAACAGCAGTACATCAGCCATTTGAACTGATGCTTCGCTGCCATACAACCATGAGAACCTATGAAATAAAGAATAAAAAGAGGGAGAGAAGGGGGACTTGCCTGAAAACTTTTACGCCCTAAGCAAACATTCTGGGTCAAGGCGCCTACACCTTGTGTAGACAACATACCGTCACAAACAGCTGGCTATCGTGCAAAGATAAGGCGGCATCGGCGAGACAGCTTCCGTGCGGCTTTCACTGCCACGCGTCATAATCAGCCATTACCCCGCAGATAACTCAGAACCAAACACATTTGAAACAGACAATCCGATTAGGAGACGGCAGCAGACGTGCCACTGGTGGCGGTTGCGAGCCATGTCCTGTAAAGTCTTGAGCCAAGCACAAGGCGAGTCATGTGGACTCCATCCCGTAAGGCGAGAAGGATCAACGGCACCCAGTTTGGTCGTTAGTAATTTCATTTCACGCTGCCAAGTCAACTTCTATCTACCTCGTGCCTTGAGCCACCCTACACCCGGCAGACTAAACAAGGTCCTCCTAGGTAAGCGGTGACCGGCATACGTAGGACGTGTCCAAGCCAACGCAACTTATTCAGTGCTATCTGTTGTTCTACGGAAATAGCATGATTATCACCACCTAGTACTCGCCTACACGCATCATCGTTGCGGAGACGCTGGTGCCATCCGACTCCAGCAATGCTTCGTAGACAACGATGATCAAAGACTTGAAGGCGCCTCAGACCGAAGGGGCCAAGTCTCACTACCATAGAGCAGAATGGTGCTCACTGTGGCCTTGTATACACGGACTTTCAGATGGAGGGAAACTCACTTCTATCGCCAAAAGGTAGTGCCGGCCTTTGCAATGCGTGAACCGACTTCAGTTTCTATTCCCCCATCGTTGCTGATGGAGCTACCAAGGTAACTGAATTGATCAACCACCTCGAGTTCCTCATTAGCAAGAATCAAGGGGTTATAAAGTGGCTGGTCCTGCAGCAACACTTTGAAGGGGCAAAGCGCATACCAAATAATGGGACCAATATAGACAGGCTATTCAGGGTTGAGTATGCCGCCGCAACGTCATCGAAAAGCAAGACGATATCGTTCGCATAATCAAGGTAAATTAACCTTTCACTAGGCAGGACCTCAACGCCTCCATCAGGAGGTTCCGCAAGGGAAAACTCCATGATAGAGTCCACAACGAAAGTGAACAAAAATGGGAAATCGAACAACCCCGACGAATGCCACTTGTGGTCGGAAAGCTATCCGACAGATCACCGCAGACCCTGACGCGGCCTGTAGTGTTCGAGTATAGAGCACGAAGGGTAGCAACACCCTTCCGCGTAAGTATTTCGAAAATTATGGCTCGATCGACTGAATGTTGCCACCCAATAGAACGTGTAGCCAGCACCTGCTTCATGCAACTTACTCAGCGAGCCGAGTTTCACTGAGCGTCGCAATATCGATGGGGTAACGCGCCAGCACCATCGCGACTAGTGCATTGCGTCGCTCCAGGCGCTCACTGGAGTTCCCATCCAGTAGTGTGCGCACGTTCCAGTACCTGATACTGAGTGCGTTGCGCGCAGGCATACGATTGCATTGGTGGGCAATCGCACGCGAGGTGGCGGTTTGCTTCAGAAATATACTTGAAGGACTCCACCCGGAGCTTTTCAATCAACAACCTGACCCACAAGCAGTGGGTGATTTGGTTGTTTGCTTGGGGGACTCCACCCGCAGCCTTTGACTCAATAGCCTGACCCACAAGGCAGTGGGAAGCAGATCCAGCTCGGGAATGTGATTGCAGAGGCAGATTGGTATCTGCCTGATGGCCGTCACACGCAGCCTGGAGGTACTGGAACGGTTTATATATGTTTTACGACCGTAATAGGATACAACTGCGACCACGGCCAGACGCAGGTGGGTTTTGGTGGGTTTGCATCAATTTGACCAGGGGCTGCCTGGCTTGAGGTGGCCAGTAGCAAACCATTGAGCACCCGGAGGTGCCTTCCCACCGTCAGAAACAATGCATGGCGCTCGTGCTCTACGCCAATCGAGCTGTGAGCTTATAACCCGTAGACCTGTTGTCTCCCATGCCTAGGTTTTAAGGGAAGAGGGCCATCGACCGCTTCCTAACCTCCGAAGAGGATGGACTAGGATACTGGCAGAGCGCCCACACCTGACAGGAGAACGACTCGGGTTCTCAGCCAAAGCCTTCGATTAAATGAACACCCGAAAGGCAGCGGGTCTGGCACATGGTCAGTTCACTGACTCATGCGGATTGGTGTCCTGCATCTTAGCAGGGAGAAGGGCGAAACCCAACTCCCACCCAGCGGTCGCCACGAGGAGGCGCCCAGGACATGAGCCAATGGCACAACAGTAGCAGCAGTGGTTAGACCATCTGTCAGGATCTAGCCACCACCTGCCTCAGCGCACCATAGGCTTCTCGCGACCAGTGCAGTGCGTCGCTCCGGGCGCTCGCTCGAGTTCCGGTCCAATAGTGTGCGCACGTTCCAGCACCCGATGCTGAGTGCTTTGCGCGCAGGCATACGATATATATATATATATATATATATATATATATATATATATATATATATATATATATATATATATCGCACTGCACTGGTCGCGATGGAACAGGCGCGCTACCACATCGATATTGCGACGCTCAGTGAAACTCGGCTCGCTGAGCAAGGTAAGTTACATGAAGCAGGTGCTGGCTACACATTCTATTGGGTGGGGAACGTCGCCTCAGCACCACGTGAACATGGGGTTGGATTTGCAATATCCGATCGCCTGAATGGCCAGCTGGTGGGTGAACCAACGGGCATCAGCGCGCGACTGATGACTGTTCGCCTACGACTCGGAAGAGGTAAGTTTGCTACTTTTATAAGCACGTACGGTCCGACCATGTGTTATCCTGATGACACGCGTGATCAGTTCTACATTGAGCTAGCCTCCGTGATACGGTCTGTGCCGAGGAGCGACCGACTATTTCTGCTGGGTGATTTCAACGCGCGCGTTGGGCGTGATGCATCAGCGTGGACAGATGTTATCAGTACGTATGGCATTGGTTCAGCGAATGCGAACGGTGACAGGCTGCTCTCGCTGTGTGCCACTCACGGCCTGACGATCACGAACACTCGGTTTGCACTGAGTGCGAGTGATATAGAAACTTGGACGCACCCACTGAGTGGTCACGCTCACCTGCTCGACTATGTCATCGTACGTCAGCGTGATATGCGTGAAGTGCGCATGACACGTGTACTGCGTGGAGCTGAGTGTGGCACTGATCACAAATTGGTTCGGACCAAACTGTACATATATTTTCGTAAATCGATGTATTGCACTCCCGCCGTGAATCGGCGTAAATTTAACATTCTCTCCCTCGGTACTGTGGCGAAACGTACTGAGCTGGAGA